AGAGCTGAATGCGTTTTGTATTCAATAATAATAAATAACTTCCGTGTGTTGTGATGGATTAAAAATACTGAATGTCACCACCCCTGTTCATCCAACAACAGCACTGCAAAGAAAAGGAAAACTTGAAACAGACCCTATATCCTGGTCTGGTCAGCATGGTATAGTAGGCCAAAACCTTCTTTCTAAGGAGAGATCTATGCCCATCAGTGGACCACCAAAAGCTGTTGATGTTGACGAACAATAAATAACTTCACACATCTCACACACGGCCGTTTGATCCAAAACTAGGCAGAGCCCGTGCTATGGTAACCAGACTGCTGATGAACATACTTAATCGTTTCTACCACATATTATAGATAAATTAAACTCAGTCACAGAAGTAATTATCATGTTCATCACACAAATATTTGTGCAGGGCTGTAATCAAAGCCACAAACCCCAGCCACGCAGTCATTGCCACAAACCACTGGACTTACAGGCCCGTCAAATTACCATGGACTTGATTCCTACATTTTTCTCTCTTGCCAACTCTTGCTAACAATTGGCCTATGATTGCACAAATAAACTGTTTTTTTCAGATTTCTTAAGTTGCATGTTTCAATATACACCAAACTATATATTTGTATATATAGCGTGTCAGGTTGGTGTTGTTAGGTTACACTAACATTCGTTACGGGTTGTTGGAGTCCTAAAAACTCCGACAATAATTTACAGAGCTTTGATATCGCCTAGTACTTGGGTTGTGGAGCTCTGATGGTAGTTGCTCCGCGTAAATAATCGAAGTTCAGTCCTAGTTTGGAAACAAAGGCTTGGGGGAAGAGGAAGAGAGAACGGGTGAGCTTCATATTATCGTCCCATGTGTAGTTTCAGATAATGAGAATTAAGGCTTAAGATAACTGTTCAAGAAGTTTTAAGGTGCTAGAATAAACGTGTTTTTAACCGACTTCAAAAAAGGAGGCGGTTCTCAATTCTTCGGAATCTTTTTTTATATGTACGTTTATCGAATACTCGAAGACGTCTGAACTGACTTGGAAAGTTCTTTTCTTTTTGTTTCAAAAGGAATACTTCCCCGGTGGTCCCACTAAAATTTTATCGGAATCGGTCAATCGGTTTTTGAAAAAACAACAAAAATCTAAAAATTGTATACATTGATGATATTTTACGTTTACTCCGAAACCCCTCTGTCTTATTAGTCATTGGTTAACCATATAAATTGGCGTTCGGCCTTTGGAAAAATACATTGACTTTGAGACTTATTAAAAAGACATTAGTACTCAAAATATTCAGGCTTCTATAATTAAACTGTGTGCTTATAAAGTCAAATAAAATGAGTGTGTGTCTACCAGCCGTAGACACACATTTAATAAAATGAATGTGTGATCTGATAAGGTCGTCAAACATCCGGCGGGAGGACGGTGTTGGTATTAATTGTGTTATTAAACATTTATTTTTCTTTTATATTGTTAATGTGGCAAATAAGAATGACACCTGATTGGTGGCAATAATTACCTTAACTTATGGATGATGATGCATTTTATTAATGCACAAATGGGCCAGGTTCGACCGGAGTGATACCACGGCCTCACATAAAACTGGTGTTAAGCATTTCTTTCGCTGCTTTTTACCGAGTAAGTGAGGTTACCAGAGCGCCATATCTTCTGATTCGGGGGGGGGGGGAGGGGGGGGACTGATAGAGCGGCAATGTACTTATGACTGATGTGTTGCAGGTGTCCATGGGAGGGGGCACTCACTTACCAGCAGGGGACTCCTCTGCTCGTTTACCCCCCTATACTATGAAAATAATACCAATTTAAGATTTGCGGTATTCTCTACCTATACTCTATTAATAGGGTTTTAAAACGAAATTATCCTGTCTGTATTGTCTTTATTCACTTTATTATACGCTGTAAAAAAAAAACTGTATGTAAATTTACAAAAGGATTAATTAAAACCTTTACTTAAACTCTCGATGGCTCAAACATAAACTTATGTGGTTTCCTCAGATGTTGTCATTCTGTATAAACCTTCTCTGTCAAGTTGTTTTATGTGATAAAGAAATGAAAAAAAAGTAATTGTCTAATAATCCATTTCTTGAACATGTCGATTTGTTGCTCAGTAAAAATATAATTCAGTATTTATTTACTTAACGAAATAACAACACTACAACAACCTATTGATTTTACATTCAAAATTTCATTGCATTTATATTCAACCGCAATTTGGAGCCATACCATTTGAAAACCAGAATTTAACAACGACTACGGTAGTTTAAGCGGCACAATCTTTGTTACTTTTATAGAAATGTCATTTTCGACTATATTAATTCAGTCATTGTTTTATTAATCACGTTTAACGCGTGACAGAAGCGTTCATCAAGCTTTATTTAAATGAGACCTAGAGAGAAAATAAATAATTTATATCGATTTTCTCTTTTTATCTTTGAAAGTAAAGCCGCAACGTAACATTTGGATATGAACTATATACTTCTTTATTGGTTTTTCTCTATGAGCTGAGATGCTCATAAGAATTTACTCAATAAAAATAGATTTCATTGTTTCATTTTATACCTACTTGTCTCATTTCCTAGTAGGGATTTCCTTTCTATGGTCTACCCTTCTATACCCACACCTGACACCCCGGCTATAAGAACCAATGAAGGAACACAGAGTGGTATAAGTTGGTTCTAATCCTACGTACCAGTTTCGCGTTTGGTCCCATTGAGGTGAGGACTCAAGTAAAAAGGCAATAGGAATGCGGATTAGTGAAAAAAGTGAAAAGAGATTTGAAAACATGTTTTATTTTTAACTAAATCTTCCCTTGCAATAGGATGAGCTCCGCCTCTCTCTCTAGGTAGAGGGAGAAAAAAAAGAAGAGTTGAAAAAAAAATTTATTCCCAAATCTAATAAATATGGAAAATGTAAAAACGAAAAAAAAAGTTGTTTAATAAATAAGATTAAATAAATTTCTTTTATAATGTTGTGTTGTGATCTATTCACATTTAAAACATTAGGTAATTAAAAATACAACATAAGTAGATAGGTGTGCGTAATGTAATGGCAGTTTAGTTAAAACAAAAAAAACTAAAATACAAAAACTTGCTATGCTCGATGATTTTGACAAAAGTTACAGTGGTGGGCGTGTGGGAGGGATTAGTCCCATCATCATCATCATCAACAGCCTTTAATAGTCCACTGCATGACATAGGCCTCTCCTTAGAAAGGAGGTTTAGTCCCATGCTCGATGATAATAATAAAATAACGTCATAGTCAAATTTTTTGTGTCTGTAAAATAGGAATAATATTAAGGTTAATCATTTGAAATATATATTTATTTATATAGATCACATTAAAATAAATACAAACCTTTGTATTTATTTTTCTGTTATCTATATAACTTGACTTAAAAAAATAAAAAAAGAACTTAGGCTCTATCGCAGTAACTTTTGTCAATTTTTTATAATCTATGGAAATGTATTATTATGTCGTAACGTATTCGTATATAATATAACGTACTCTATCCTTATCCATAGACTGGGCCATAATGACAAAACCATCACTCACTGTTTTAGCTTCTCTTTTACAATGACAGAAAAATAATCATATTGGTACTACTGCACTGTATACATCTAAGTATGTGTTTATTTTTCGTAATGTGGTAACGTCAATATTCTTTCGTTTCTCGTATTAATATAATTTACACTACAACTTATAAGAAATACGTTTGTTAATCAGAATGAATTACCTACTTCAAAGATTACTCCGTCTAAGATAAATTAATTATAGATAATTTAAATATTCCCTATAAAACCTAGACGCAAAATACATGCAACCAGTAAAATAATCCATAAACAATTAAGACGAACATTACCCGTGTAGCAAAGCGTTGTAACTAAATAAATAAAACTTTTTGTGGCACAGATAACGCAGAACAGGTGTGTGGCGCATTGTTCCATATTTGTTCAAAGATATCAAATTATAAAAGATAATGAATGCAGTTGGAAATTAAATTATACTTTTGAGTTTTGTTTGTTTTACCAATGAAAGATTAACTGTGGTGGGTATGTTATCTGGACTTTTTTGTTCAGGTTGAAAAAGCGAGTTGAACATTTATTGTTTGAGGTTTAAATATAGGTTTAAATATTTGAATTGTTTTAATTGTTATACGATAACATGAAGTGAGAGATTTTATGTGATTAATAAGATACATAACTATAAGTTAACCCACCGTCGGCAGTTTGTTCACATATTTAATTGATTAAAACACATTGATAATTTAAGAAAAGAATATAACATCGTTAATTATATGGTTCTATAAAGATAAAAAACAGGTAGCCATAGCGAAACTTTTCTTATCGTAATTATTGACATATATTTATACCTAAAAAAAGTTAATTTTATACTAAGCTGACCTATCTGTTATTATTTGTGAAATTTCTAGATATAAACAACATAAAACAACAGGCTTTGAGATAATAAGCTAAAAGTATAACAAATTTTTTTTTTGAATTATATTGCATATGAAATAACTTTATACATCACAGGAACAACATTTTAAGGTTTAAATAATTAACCTACTTTTCTACTTAATCTTTATAATTTATGCACTTGATGATTGTACGTACACTAAATGCTTGCTTCATTTCTACGTTTTATTATTTTTCTCTTTGTCATTTCTGTTGATTAAGACAAGGATGAGTACAATAGGGTTTTAGTGGAAAAATGTTTGCCTTAGTTTGATATAGATTGATTTAATATTACTTGACTAACTATCAATATCGTTATATGAAAGAAGAGTGTTTAGTATCCACCGTAGGTAATGTTTCTTTTATTAACACGGATAACGCAAACATTTAAAATCCTAAAGCATCCTTATAAAATAATGAAAATAATTATTTAAAAGTATTAGAAGTTTCAGAATGTAGAGATGGATATAAAGAGTAATTTATAGAAACATATTTTTACATTAAATCTGTGAAAATGAAATCTCTTATTTAATCTTACCTTAATCTCTTCGCTTCGTCAATGAACGGTCTTTTCTCCATTTCTGTAAGCAGCTTCCACTCTGCACCCAGTCTCTTCGAGATCTCAGAGTTGTGCATCTTTGGGTTGTCTTGCGCCATTTTCCGCCTCTGACCACGCGACCACACCATGAAAGCATTCATGGGCCGTTTTATGTGGTCATTTGGTTGTTTACTCAGTGACATTGTTAGATCAATTTTGACAACTTTATTTAACCAATAAAAATATTAACACTCCCGATTGCTCGCGCTCATAACTTTCAAAATTAAAGATATAGCAGTTCGTTTTCTATGCTCAAAATTTTAATTATTTTTAAACACAAATTTAAATATCGAACACGTTTATTTCCCGCGCGCAGTGAAAAGCTCGTCGAAAGCTCAATGCGGCGCTTTTCTTGCTAGTGTCATGTTAACGCGAGACCTCTAGTCCCCCCAAGGTTTTCCCCCCTCTAAAGTAACTAGCCAATGTTAGCGCGCCGTGGGCGGCCGCTGGGCGCTGATTGGTTGAAGAATCGTTTGTCTCGCACGTTTGCAACAGGTAGCGACCGCGTTCTTGTTTGCATGTTTATTAGCACGATTAAATTTCTTTTTAAGCCACAATCTTGTGCAAAAAGAACGCAACGCAAATCGAATGGTTATTCGATTTGGTTGAGAGCGACCTGTGATTTGCGATAGTTAATTGTTCGTTGACTTTGAGATTGAGTAATATACTCAGTTGAGTGTTTATTTTGTATAAGTATTTTAGTTTAATCCATATATTATTCGATTAATCTGGTCAATGTATGGATTACATTACATTATTTAAAAATTGTAACCAGTGTATATATGTACCTTTATTTAGTCCTCCAAACATTTTTTTTAGATAGTTATGAAATAGTTTTTTTTTTATAAGTAATAACTTACGATAGAGTGTTGTTGTGAGTGAACACGACGCAAAAAACAAAACAGAGCGCTTATGTTTCTCAGAATTTAGTTTTCGGTTTATTTAATCGGTTTTTGTAAATTTAATATTATATTAAACTAGAGATCACCTGTTGTTCCCTTGACCAATATATCTTAAACTGTAATTGCATAGAATTTAATATGATAACAAGTCAAAATATATATTTGGCCTCAAAGTTAAAGACTGCAGTTTTTACAAAACTTTTAACTATAAAGTTTTATGTAAAAACTGCATAAATTGTAGTTTTTTATAGATTTTTGCACTTTTAAAATATGTATATAAACACTAAGTTTCCCAAACATGCTAACATGCTACCGTGCGCCATGTTTTTTTTTTAATTGAAAAAAATATGCTGATATTAGGCAATTAATTAATAAGTAAATCACTTAAAGCGCTATATTTTGTCATGAACCATAAAATAAAAAAGTTAAGCACAAAGTTTTTTTTTTGGGAACTGAACTAAATTGTCTGGTAAATATCTGGCTTTTTGACTAAGGCAGGGAACATATTTCTTTGTTAAATTTGAACTTGAAAAGGTTTTCCTTCTTAATTTTTACTACACGTACCTACAATGTGCTAACGTAATAGGTTTTCTTTTAATTTATTTTTAACATTACGATGTACATTAATTAATATAACCTAATAAATAATTAATTACTTAATAAAATATTATGGTATAATTAGATTCTATATACAGAGAGTTACGGAAAAGAGTTGTTAAATTGTAGTCGAATGTCGTCATCATCATCAACAGCCTTCCACAGTCCACTGCTGGACTTACGCCTCTCCTTAGAAAGAAGGTTTTGGTCTACTATACCACGCTGGCCAGACGGGTATAGGGTTTGTGTCACGTTTTACTTCTCTTTGCAATGCTGTTTTTACAGTTTGCTCGTTTAGTTGTCTCTTAGGCCACTCACGGGATGAATAGTGTTGGTGACACTCCGTATTTTAATCCATCATCACACGGATAGATTACATTGGAAAATAATTATTTTTGATTAAAAAAAAAGGAGCTGGTAGACATTTTTATACAATATATTATGAATTTTTAGACCAAACTAAGCAGACCCTGTACTATGGTAACCAGAACGCTGATAAACATACTTTAATACTTCTAAATACATACATATTATAGATAAATTACACTCAGACACAGAACAAAAATGATCACACCATTGTTTTTTTTGTTTTTAATAAACTTTAAAACGAAAGGTTTAATAATAATATAATAATAATATTGTACCACATTCACACAACGCCATCTAGTCCCAAACTCAGCAGAGCTTTTGCTATGGGTACTAACCGACTGATATATATACATATATATTTTTTTGTAAATACATACTTATTATACATAGAAACACCCAGACCAAATCAAACATTAAATGTTCATGCACACAAATGTTTGACTTGAGCGGGAATCGAACCCGCGACATTTGGAATAGCAGTCAATTACACAAACCACAGCGTCATTCGGTCGTCGTTTGATACATTTTTGTATGACATTACGCTTTAGTATTTTCAAATCAGATTCTTTTACGGTTATTTTACAATAATGAACTTAAAATACACATAACTTAAAGTGCACATAACTTTTGACTGACTTAGAAATTCAATGTCATTGCACATGAACCTATAAGAAAAAAAAAAAAAAACGAGCCAAGAAACCTCTTCGAAGTTATTGATATATGAAAAAATTACATGAACATGTTTTAAACTTAATTATACAATTCCAGAGATTAGGGTGAGTTTATTTTAATGAACATCATCCACAGCCTTTACTGGTCCACTGCTGGACATAGGCCTCTGCCTATGTCCAGCAGAACCTCCTTTCTAAGGAGAGCCTTAGAAAGGAGGTTTTGGCCTACTATACCACGCTGGCCAGACGGGTTCGTATAGGGTTTGTGTCAAGTTTTCCTTCTCTTTGCAGTGCTGTTGTCCTGCGTAGTTTGCTCCTGTAGTCGGCTCTTACGACACCCACGGGATGAACAGGGGTGGTTACACTTTGTATTCTTAATCCGTCACCACACGGACATAATATCTCACATTATTAAAGAATACAAGCTTCTGATAAACAGTACAACAGATGAAGGCTCCTTTTTTATAATAATATTAAAAATATTTACCTATAGGTATCTTTTTTATTTTATTTTTAGATTTACATTACCAGAATATAAAACAAATCAAATTCTTTACGTACATAATAATAACCAGCAAGACCAGTTCTTATATTGCTTTGTGCATTCTTGTATCGTATTTAATAAGATTTTTACCTTAGAAACAAATGATCTATTCTTTAAAACATTGACATTTATCTGCGGCAGTTCATAATAGATCTTTGGCATTATATTACCTATACTTTCTAGTTTTTTAAACAAAAAGGTACTTTAAAGGTACTTAAACGTTTTAAATTTAATTATTTAAGAATTATTGCGTGGAAAGTTTGGTGCGTCGTTAATTTCGAGAAATGGACCGATCAGTTGGCCACTAAGATCGTGTGATTTAACACCTTTAGACTATTTTCTTTGGGATTACGTTAAATTTAAAGTGTATAGCAATAATCCAGCTACAATTCGTGACCTAAAAACTAACATTCGACGAGCCATAGCCGACATACCGGCCGAAATGGTGCACCGCGTCATCGAAAATTGGTGTAAACGGTGTTGGCCGATATATTATTTAAAACATAAATTGCATGAAATTATCTATCAAATAAATCAATCTGATGCATTTTTCATTAAAAATTGTGTGTTTTACTCAATTTTTAAACCAGGACGTTCTTATTGGTAGACCCCATATATGCTGCAAAATCTCTATGAGTTCTGCACCGATTGTATGAGCTCAAATTTAGACTCGATGTGCAATCCGCTTCAAAGATGGTTTTTATCTATTTTTCGCGACAGCTTTGTTCCTCTTTTCTCATCCATGAAACGTGGCAGGGTACAGCTAGTTTTCATTCTCTACTGTCCACACAATATAGGTGGTAATATGCCAAACACAATATTCCGGCCGTGTCTCACATAGGTGCGCAGACATTCAATTTGCATGAGACATACCACAGCCGCAAACAATTCGCCATGAATGCTCACTAATGGACATTTCTGTTCATAATTGTACTCAATATACAGCTCCTATCTTGATGTATGAGGGAAATTATTCAATTTATAATTCTTCTTGTTTAGCCAGTGTAGCCAAGACACAGAAGTAGTGAGGATGTATTGTATTTTTAATTACCTCAAAATCCTTTTATTAATAAACCAATTTCAAAAAGTATTTTTCTTTTGAAAAAGTTTACTACTTATCCCATTCAAATTAGAAAATAAATACCATCCTTACATATAAAATTAAAAAAAGATAGTTTATTAAAATTAACCATCATATGAATCATTGGTGTTGGTAACATTTTTTTAGAAAAGAAAATTATAATACACATACATATTTTTATTAGTATTAAGAGTAGTAGCAGAAATCCTCTGAACAGGCAAGGTGATCATGCCTGTCGGGTTGTGGCCCCACGGATAATGTTGGAATGATATATATCTTTCATTGCGTGATGCAGGATTAGTACTTACTCCGTAGTTCCATGTATCTTCATTAGATGGCGCTGAAGTATGTTTTTTGTTATATGCATTGCACTGATTTAGCTGTATACAATTGCTCCATCCGCTGACGGGAGATCTAAGTGTACCTACATAGAGATCCTTAGATAATCACTACTCTAAGTTGAGAAAGGGTGGGTCTTTAACGATAACTCAACACATGTCTGTAATAAGTAGAGTTAAGTAGAGGGGGGGGGGGGACACAATTTTTTTAAATTGTATTTATTGCACGGTTGACCCCTTTATCCAATACTAGCTTTTGCCAGTGGCTTCGGCTATTATGTAGCTTTCCATTAGTGAAATAATTTTTGAAATCGGTATACACACAAAAAAACTCACACATTGATAAAGTAAGTATGTATACTAAGTAAGTATACTAAGTAAGTAAGTATACTAAAATAATGAATAAAAAGGAAATGTCAAGGGTCAAATACTCTTCTGCGATTTCTAGAAGATAACACCCACACCCATACCAAAACGCTATTCCTATATTGAACCCACAAAGTCGATATAAAATAGGATATAATGGCTATCTAAAACATAGTGTTGTGGAGGTGTTGTCGCGGCGAGCGCCGGCGGCGACGCGCCGAAGCGGCAAAACGGTACATAACACGATATTGTCGCCGATACACCGGATTGTTTGT